TTCATACTGCCAATGTAATATTTATCTATATCTATAAAAAGAATACTATCAAAGTGAGATACTTTTTAAAAATCATTTTATACTTGTGATACCTTGGTTAGGTTCTAAATAAATACTATACTTAACAGCACTAAAGGCTGAAGTCATTGCCTTAGGCCTACATCCAGAAGTTGCAGCAAAAGAGCTTTAAAATGTGAAAAATTTTATTCATTACTCCAAACTGAAAGGTTTTGGCCTTAACAAAGATGGTAGCAGATTATAACCAAAATATCTCAGATGTGAATATTAAAACCTTGCAGATTATTTTTTTAATGACTATTCTAAGTTATACAAAATGGCTATAACATTACAACATGAAGTATGTACTGATGTTTTCAAGGAATTAAGTTTAGCTGGTGCTGCCAAAGGCCATCCTATTTGAGTCACTTACAGAAAAGGCAACCTTTAAGGGCATGAGGTATACAAAGCGCAAACCAAATTCACAGGCCACCTCCCTTCCCCGCTCATTTCTGCCCTGACATTGTACAGCTATAATTGAAAGCAATAGATCTAGCCAACGTAGGTGTGACTCATTCGATGGGAGAAACTCACTGTCTGCTGCCAAACCAAGCTGGTTTTTATCTACAGCAGGCTAACACGAAGACGCCTAGAGAAAAATTCTCTTTCCAAAACGTGAGATTCAGCAGAGGTGCAGCTTACTTTATTAAATCTAGGCTTTAGCACTTAATTTTGAAATACTTGTTTCTCCTGGTTTCTACAAATTGGTATGATCTGGATTGTAACAAAGATGGTGTGCCAGAAAAGGCAAGTACCAAAGGATGGCATTTTCGAGGATCACTATCAATGAATGGCATGTCCTTCCAGTTCAGGCCTGAGGTTAACAAGCTACAAATGTGCTCAAACACCTGTGTGCATGTGCGTGTGTGAATGTACACGTATGATATATATATATATAAATAGTATTGTTTAAAAAAAGAACTTTTGTTTTCAAATTAGAACAGTTTCACCAGCATGACACAAAGCCAAGTGTACTTTTCCACTAGCTCTCCTCCAAGACTGTTAACAACAAAGAAGGATTTAATCAACAGGAGGGGCAGTCCCAAAGCAACCACATTACTACACGGCAAAACCAAACTTGATAGCACAATCTAGGCTTCCAACACGTGAACTTGAGCCATCCCCCAAACCACATTAAATACATCTTTAACATCATCATTAATTTAAGGGAATATGATTCTGGAAAAATATGTGCTTGCTGTGTCATAATGCTAGGGCACTGACAGCTTTGTTCTGGCATGCCAGTTTGTTCTGTTTTGTTTTGCCCTGTTTTGAGGAACTGTTTTCAAGGCCCATTCTCAGACATGGCTCTTCTTTTGGCTTCATTTTTCTCAATACTGATGCCGCCCTATTGGTTTCACAGGCTTATAAATGTTAAACATCAAAAATTAGTTTCACTTATTATGGTTGGAAAAGGCTTTAAGAACTCTGGGGTCTGTGCCTCTGAGCAAAGCCTTTATCAGCAAGTCCCAGTCACTGCTTCTTAAAAAAAAGAAAACAGGACTGATTAAAAACCCATATACCTGATTTCCAAAAGGACACCTACCATGCACATATACATTTAATTCATAAAGGGTTTCTGCCCCAAACTCACAATTACTTACTTCGCAAAATCCCATCTTTCATATCCACAGTGATTCGCACCAAGGAGATAAACATGAGAAACTAAACCTCAAACTAAACTATTCATTCAAGAATTCCATCTTGATTACTTTAGTTATTCTTCGCGGGTATTTAATTAACACGGCATCAGTATCTCTCCAATGTCTGTGTCTGACCAGCAAAAACTTTCCAGATGTTTTTCCACTTATACAAGTAAAAGAATAGGGCCCAAATTATTGTTTTTCCTTTTAATCAGAATTCTTTAACCCCATATTACATAAATTTCTTTTACTAGAACAAAGCATTATACTTGTATGGAAGTAAAAAGAACACTTGGGAAAAATGTTTACTATCCTTACAAGTGCTAAAAATAGTATAAATTTCTAAAGCAATCTCATTCATATGTCATGAAGTGTGACAGGAAATAACAACTCTGAAAATGGAAAATACCCAGCCAGTATTATGCAATTCCCATTTCTAAAATAGCAGTCTGACCAAACAAAACACAGAAACTTAATATTCTCAAAGGAAACACAGATTTCTGAGGCCTCGGAGGCACTACTTCTGTTCCCTCTGACAAGCAGCTTCCTGCGGCAGGGAAAGGAGAGCTCACGCGTGGCCACTGATGAGGCAGACAAGGAGGGAGTGAACATGCAACCACGGTGGACACAAGGCCACTGCAACCCCACCACTCCCAGCGCATCACTGAGGGAAACTATATCCAATTCCCAATTGACCAGGTTACTGAGAGATTTAGTATAGATACATAAAAGATTCTAGAATCCGGTACCTCACTGAAGGCACATTTTAGATCTGATTTGCCAGGTAAAGATGAAAAGTACAATCAAATAATGTTTTCAAGATCTTACTGTAATAATAATTGTCTTGAGCAGGAAAACCATCAGCAGTGAATACTAAAACTAGCAAGTAAAGAACAGTGAGGAAAAGCATATTTACAGTCTCAAATCATCTCCCACCTCTCCATACGATACTCATAATTATATAGGGAAGAACAGTAACGTTATAGAGGGGAAACCTGGAGACACCACCTTACCCAAATAATCAAAGGAACATAAGCAATAAATTGGACAAATAGATATCACATGCCTCCTGATATCTTGCACTGAGAAGGACACAGTATCATTTCTGTGATCTTCCTGCCAAAAAATGCATAACCTGAATCTAATCATGAGGAAGCACCAGACAAAAACTGAGGGGCATCCTACAACATAAGTGGCCTCTACTCTCCAAAAATACTAAGGTCCTGAGAAACAAAGACAGACTGAGGAAACATTCCAGATTAAAGAAGACTAAAAAGACATGACCAGAAAAAAGAAAATTTTCTTTTGCTGTAACGGAAATCAGTGACATATTTGGTAAATCTAAATAAGGTACATAAATTAGAAAGAATGGTAAAGCAAATGTTAACTGTTAACATTTTGCAAATTTTGCAACTTTCTGAAAGTTTGAAATTATTTCAAGATAAAAGATTAAAAAAAAAAAATCAAAGTGTTCAACTCTTAAAACTTTAGCATTACTAACTTTACCTAAAAGGAAAACAGTGCCTGCAGTAAAGTAAATGCTTCTCTCTGAATTCCCCTGGCCTCTGGTATGGGTGCTAAGAAACAGAAAAAATACAAAAAGAAAAATAGCCAGCCATGGATGGATCACGGGCAGCCCACATTCTAACGTTATAGACCAGGGCTTGCATTACTCTTTCTTCCTTTAGCAAGGCAAAGATCTGAGGAAACTTAGTGACTGAAGAAGCCGCTACAATAACCAACAGCTAACGCTGAAATCCTACTGAGTTTGTGGTACCATTCAACACACCATCAAATTCACTGCATTCAAATGTAATACCTGAATCTTTCTACTTGGAAAGAGAATAATAAAATGCTATTGCACTCAATGAATGCTATAATCAATGAAATCAAAATATGGTTATTTTAAAGATGAAAAGAGTAATTTTCAAACTGAAAGCACAAGAATATCATAGGCTAGGAGGGATGAATGAATCTTACCAAAAGAAAAAAAAAAAAACCTTTTTTAAAATCTCACATTTTTGAATGGCCACATAACTGCCATTTATGCTGCTTCTTACCTAGGTCCCAAACTCAAGCTCACAGCTTCCTAATTTTCTTTAGATTAGCCATTAATAAATGCACATACATATACATAAACATTATAAATGGAAGTATCAATATCCAATGTGACAACTGATTTGAAGGCTTAGGGGGAAAAAAAAGACAACCTGTGAATCCCTAAGCCTTGCTTCTGAAATGGTTTTCTCCCCTACATGAAAGTATAAATCCCACAAGATACTTGTGGCCAGCAACCAAAAAGAGAAAACAAACAAGCCAACATACAGCCACCAATGGTAGATGTTTTGACATCAGAGGATGTAAGAGGGGACTGGTGTTTCCATAGAAGAATTTACTGAAATAGTAATTTCACCACTAGTCTTAGTTTAGAAAAAAATGTTCACCAGCAGGTGAATAAGAAAGATCAGTGCAGGTGCCAAGAGTTTACACAGGTGACCGATGATGTTCTCTATGTAATTAAACACCATGGAGTAGTTATAGTTTAAGAATGAGGCGAAGAAGGTAGTGATATATTAAAAAAGAAAGCTTTGATAGAGCTTTCTTCCTAGAAACTAGGACAAAAATGACTTACAAAACAACGACAAAAAAACATATGCCAATTATGAGCTCTTTATGTGTGACTTTACCTAGCGATACCTGGCAGTCATTCTCAATTGGAGGAATATCCCTCCCAGAGGGTGCAAGTGAGAACCTTCTGATGCCTTGGTACTTGGAAAAAGAATATTCAATATACCTATTAGTTTTATACTATAGACTGTAGGTTTAAAAAAAAAGGCTGAAAATTCTTTAGGGTTGAGGCAACTACTTAGAATATGCAGTAAGAAAGCATTCTGGGGAGCAAGGGTTAGGAACATGTTGAGAGATGTGACATTAGAACACACGGCTGCCCTCAGGGAGAGTTAAACTGAGTTAAAGATGCAAATGGAAAAAGAAAGCTAGCCTTTTAATCATAATTGGCAAAAAGCTCTCTGAACTAGATGAAATCTAGGGGTGGAATATTAATCATGGATTATTTCCAGCACAAGATTTAGATCAGAATAATTTAATAACATTAAAGACAAAAATAAAACCCAGCATTTCAAAATAAAAGGTGGATTTAAGAGGGAAGAAAACGGACAGAAAGGAAAATCTTAGGTCAAATATTTGAATACTGAACTTACTCATGATCACAGAAAGAACATACGCTCATTTTAGAAGATCTGGAAGCACAAAAGAGTGTCATCAGTTGGGCTGACTCACCTCTCGAGTAGCTAGCTGATTGCTGAGCTCCTCAGCCTTCTCAATGTTCCACTCTTCCACAGCCTGGTCTATGCTCTTTTCAAGGCCCGACTAGAAAGAAAAGAAACCTAAAAGTTAGAGGCAAGAAAGAAAGGCAAACATCTGCTAGTAAAGACTACGTCGCAGGACCACACCGAACACATTACATACTTAGACTATTTAATTTTCACGATGATCGTATACGGTAGTTGGTACCACTCCCATTTACTGATGAGAAGGTGGTTCAGAGGTATTAAATGACTTAGCCAAGGTCAGATCACTTCTTGAACTAAGAAAAAGGAGATGCAAATCCAAACTTCTGTGACCCTAAGGACTACGCTTTCCCTTAATAACAATATAATGCTAATGATAATAAGTTAGAAATTATGGCATGCTTATTACGTGGTACCCTGCGCTTAGTACTGTAAGAAAGCTCATTTAATCCACATAACAACTCAATGAAATTATACCGTTATCCTGTTTTGAACATGAGGAAACAGAAGCTTAGACTCACTAATTTGGCCAAGGTCACAGCGTCTGTAAATGTTAAAGCCACCATCACATGAATCTAGGTTTGCCCAGAGCCTGTATTCTAAACCACCATTTTCCTCTGCCTCTTTTCACTATGGCCTATTCCTGTAACTTGAGACTTTCATTCAACAGCCCCTCCTAGTCTCTGACGATGGGATGGGTACTAAGTTGGATATTAAACATGGGAAGAAAGTCATATATAAGAATGATTGTACTTTCCTATGGAAATGTTATTTACTAGTTGAAGATACTTCAGGAAATCACAATGAAAATTTTCACGGGATCACCAAAGAGACTGTGCAGGATACATCATACTTCATGGAAAGATGCTTCTTAGAGTTAAATAACTGAGTTTTAGCTTATGGAAATAGTTACTAAAGAAAATGTAACTTTTTAAAAATAGTCTAATATATGCTTCTTAGGAGAAAATTTTATCCCAACAATGGCTTATCTAGTGTATCTTCCACATTTTCAGTTAATGGACTTCTCCCTCCTTAGCCTAATAAAAGAAGTCCAGGGAATGTCTCTTCTAGCAGTGTACTGCTTGATTATACCAGTCAACTAAGAGAAACTTTGCTCCCATGTAGCCTTTACTGAAAGAAGATTTTAAAAATGCCCACACAAAATCTGCCTAAAACGATTTTTGGAAACAAAGACCAGCAAGGCTGTCACTGATGTCTGTGTTAAAGTGAAGACTGTTCCTTCTCACGATCCCTCATTCGACAACCCAAGGGCCTGGAGGATGATTAGGCTTTTTTTACTTGCTCCCGACTGGAGCCTGAGACTGGCATTCAATAGCCTCTCAGAGCCTCAGAGCCCAGGCCGTGCTGCTCTACTGTCCTTTTCCCATTCTGGTCCTGTGATCATCCACCAGTCTCCAGAAATTTCTCTTTTTTGTATTTCTGCAGAATTCTTCTCCTGATAGTCCAAACAACATCCTGGACTCACTCTTCCAACATCCTTCATTTTCAGGGCCTGCTAAATAACACCCCACCCCAGAATCTATACTCAAGGCCAGGGATTCTCCAAGTGTGGTCTGTGTACCAGGTCAGGTCTGAGAGTGATGCCAGTCTAGAAACTGAGCTTGTGCCAGTGTGCAAATCAATTACATGACTATGCACAGGTTTGCCTAGCTGACTTTTTTAGGGGAGGAAGGCTATGGGATGGGGACAAGACTTTCTCAAAGAAGGAAGGAGTACACTGAGTTACACTCAGGCACAAGTTCTTTATTTCCTGGAAGCCCAATACTTTGAATACGCTTGCTCTAGGCCATGTAAGAGCTTTACAATCTAGTATTCTCTCTAAACACAAGATTCTGTCCTTCCACTTACCCCACGTCCTTGGAGCCAGTGAACCGGCCTTGTCTTCTTCATTTGGAACCCCATACTCTGTCACCATCGTATTTACTCTCACAGTCCTTCAGCCCCTTCCTGGAGTCTCCTATCCTGCCTCTCTGGCCTGCAACCCATGATTAACCTTTTCAAACTAGACTCTAAGCCAAAAGTTCTCAAAGTCTGAGTCTGGACCAGCAGCATTAGCACTACTTGAGAACTTGTTAAAAATGCAAATTTGAATCAGAAACTCTGGGGTTGGGGCCCAGAAATTCATTGATTCTAACCAGGCTAAAGTTTGAGAACCACTGACCTAAGCAATACCTTAGGCAACTAAGCAACCCTCTCCAACATCACATCTTGTTGTGGTTGTTCCCAACCACTTGTTTCCACTACTTTAACATCTAGGTGTCCCAGCAAAGTCAGAGAAAATCAAATGTCTCAATTCACTGGCTTTACTAAATGCTCTTTTTCAAACTCAGCTGGGTGGGCTCTCAGTTCTGCCCTTGAAAGTTCCCACACTCCTTTAAGAGGTTGTTGCATGTCTTCTTCATTTTTTCAAATACCCTCAACCCTACCTCCTTCCTTTTCAGCAGATTATAACTCTACCCCTAGTTCATGAGAGGCTGAGGTGGTGGGAGAGAGGGAAGAGGATAACCAAGGGTACGTATGTACTTTCTATAATCTTCCTCTCACCCGCTTCTCACTTACTCTGTTCTTCCATCCTTATTGCCTCTAAGAAAGAATCATTCTCTTCCCAAGACTTATCCCACCGCCTGTGCTCATCCTAATTTCACCTGCTTACATGCTACCCAGAACCCTTCTCTTTAAATCTTCTCCTCTCTGTCTCTTTTCTCCATCTTTCTCTCATCCTATAAACAAGCTTGTCCTCCCCAATCTGGACCAGGGGCTGGATGAGATGACACAGCTCACGTCCCTCAAACCGATTTCTTATGTCGGCACTTCACCTCTCTCGAAAGCAGCGTATCAGTTGTCCCATGTCATCTCCCATCCTTCTCTATTCCTTCTGTGCTCATCATTCCTCTGAAACTGCTCCCTCTACAGTCATAAATGATACCATTTGTCCTCCCACCATCTCTTATGTCAACTACATCCTCATTCTTAAAACTATCTCCCCAAATGTCTATCTTAACTCTCCTCTGATGCCCCTTACCTCCTCCTGTTGTCCCCTAATTATAGTAGTCCTCCAGGTTCTGTGATTGGCCCCCTTTTCCTCTTACTCTTCCCTCTCCTCAGTATTATACTTGATCCTAGGGCTTCAATTATTTCTTATAAGCTGCTTTACATCTCTAAATAATTCAAAACATCTGACCTCTCCCCCGTACTAAGACCTGTGTCTCCAGCTACTTGCTAGTTATCTTCATATTGAAGGCCTTGCAGAGGCAGGGTCTTCAATGTTTATCATGTGGAAAAGCAAGCTCATCAATTCCTGCCCTGACTCTCCTTCAGAGGTGACCCCTAGTCACCCCGGATAGAATCCTCCGTTACCTTCAACGCCTCCGATCCTGGGCTCTTATTTTCACTCTGTTTTTGTAGTGTTTCTCACGTCTCCCTTCTGCGCTTCCTCAGGGCCTCATCATCTCTTGTTTGTAAGGTTTCAACCCTCGTCAAACTAGTCTTCTGTTTTCCTAAAGCAGATCCCATGTCATTACCCAGCTCCAAACACTATCACTTCTTTCCTCTTTTTGAATAGCACCCAAATCCCTTCACAACAGGGTCCCCAAATGCTTTCTCAGCCCCATCTTGGGCAAGGCTGTACTTCCTATGCTCTGGCCACATCTACCAGTCTCTTCATACTCCCTGTGCCTCTGGATGTGTTTCTCTTTGAAAAATCTTAACCACCCTTGTAAGTCTCATGTCGAATGTTACCTTCTCTATCTCTGCAGGTTCCCTCATGCCTATACACCCGCTGACCCCACAGCACCCTCCCTGATGCCCAGTACCTAACCGCTCCCTGCTTGCTGCCGTGCCTGCACGCCACGTCTCTTTCCAGTACTTTCAGCTCAGCAACCTAACAGCATCCATTCTCAAGCCTGTCCTGCTTATTCCACATAATAGGTCTGTTTGTTTCCCTCTAATTATTTAGGCTTCCTGAGATTATTTAGGACCTGGGTGCTGTACGCCTTTACTCCAGGCCCTAGGATAATGCAGATCTCTTTTTACCACCAATGCCCAGGAACTAAACCAGCGGTCTGCTTATCTAGCGAGGCATTTTGCTGCAGCAACTGGCTAACTTAACTCCCTTTGGTTGCCACAGAGCCACAGCTTACAGTTAATGTCACAAAGTGGAAAACAAGAACATTCCCCTTTTCTGGAAACTTATATGAACTGCTGGGCCGATAGGTATAATTTTCACTTAAAAATAAATTAGCTAAAATTACAAATCTCTCTCTCCACCATCAACTAACTCCCATTCCCCCAGCCATTCCAAGCAGCATCTAATATAGCGGAAAGA